TCAAAAATAAGATAAAATTATTCTGAAAAAAATCACAGAAATCCCAATTAAACCTAATGTGGTGTCAATTTTTCATGTAATTAATACGATTAAGTGCAATTAATTAGTTTTTTTTACATAAAGTGTAATTAATTAGTTTAGTTAAACTACATGGTGCCTAATTAGTAATTGAGTAACTAGTAAAAAAATTATGTACAATAAAAATGATTATTATTTTCTTTTTCTATCAACATAATTTAATATCTTGAAATTAACAACTAAAAATTAATATAATTTTGTAAGTCATAATTTTTGTTAATCAAACATTATTTTAATTCTACAAAAATCTATTTCTATAATAATTGCTATGACATTATAATTTATGAACTCATGCATATTATTTTAACATTTATATTAGATCAATTCTAATTATTTGAATGACTAGTAATTGATAATTTCAATATGTAATTTGCTGATTAATTATTGTAAGTAGCAAAATGAATAAATTGTATTTGTTATTATATATTAAAAAAATATTAATATTTTCATAAAGATTTACAAATGCATATATTTAAAAATTTAATTAATTAAATATAAATTAATAATATAAATGATTTAATCGTTCAAAACTTTTAATTTGCAAGTTTTAAAAATTAATCTTAATCGATGAAATACTAAATTACTTCAGGCTCTTGTATTTTATAAATGCTCATACCTTTTGACCAAGCATTGAAGTTTTTTTTTTTTTTTTGTTAATGCAATGCAATGAAGTTTTCTAAGGAACTAATATCCTCAACTTTTAATTTAATTCTTTAACACTAACTATTATCGGTTGCAAAAAAAAATCGTTATAAATGAATTTATGAATTCAATTATAGATTTAGATAACACGTTTTAATATATGATATATGATGCTCATATTTTGATTCTTATTGTAAAAAATAATTTAGAAGGAAATGATAGTTTTTTTTATAGAATATTTTATAATTTTATAAAATATTAATTTTATTGTAAATATATATATATATATATATATTTATTATTGAATAATAATGAGAGAATTTTAAAAATTATTATTTTTCTCATATCTCTTGAACTCTCTAAAGGTCATTTATCAATTTTTATTAGTATTATACATAAAATTCAAGTAAAATTGTTACATCATAAAAAAAAAAAAAAAGTTCAATAAAAACAACTACTTATATTGGTATATGAAATCAAAATTCAGTCAACGAAAATCATATTCTGTAAGTATAAATTAGTCTTTGATAGTTTTGAGGCACTATGTGAAAGATGTCTTTGTTCAGGGGCAATGGCGCTTACAACATCTTTACACGCCAATAACGCCCACGTTAAGTGATAAGATACTCTCGAGTCACGTATCTTTACACGCCTCTTTACCCGACATTGTGGTGTGGAAAGACTCACTATCAGGTGTCTATTCTGCAAAATTGGGATATAGATGGCTGTTGGCTCGTTCTGGTCGCATCTCAGGGGAGTCTTGGACTTGGCTTTGGAGGTTGCAGGCGCCGAAAATGCTGAAGTTTTTTGCATGGCAACTAGCACATGGCATTATCCCCACTCAACAGTTGCTATGGGCTAGGCACGTGGGCCCAAATACGGTTTGTTTTAACTGCTACTCTAGTCGTGAAGACTTATACCACCTGTTATTTGAGTGCAATAGTGCAATGGCTGTTTGGGCTCGTATGGGTATCATGGTTTCGATGACGAGAGCCACTTTGGCAAAAGAGTAGAAGAAAAGAAATCAGAAAATGAGAGGTGTGCTTTTTGGGAGTGGCAGAGTGCTCTATTTATAGGCATCAGGCTTCGTCGGAACGGCCCGTTCCAAATCCAGAACGGCCCGTTCTGGACCTTTAACTCACAACTAAAAATCACATCCAGAACGGCCCGTTCTCAAACCAGAACGTCCCATTCTGGGGTGCATTTAATACTCACAACGGTCATATTTTGGAACAGCCCGTTCTCAACTCTGCAACGGCCCGTTCTCAGTTTGGGAACACCCAGTTCTCAATTTGGGAACGCCCTGTTCCCATCTAAAATTTGTAGACAATTTTTGGATTTTGGAACGGCCCGTTCCGATTATGGAACGGCCCGTTCTAGGCTACTAAATCACTCCTATTGGGCCTTTGGGCCCTCAAACAATCTGTGAAAAATTGGGCTGTTACAATTCTCCCCTCCTTTCAAAAATTTCGTCCCCGAAATTCACCTGAAAACAGAAATGGGTAGACTCCTTACATCTTGCTTTCTAATTCTGATAACTCTGGGAGGTGGCAATGTGGTTTCTATGGTGATGCGGGAATTACGGATAATCTTCATGCAGAATTGAGAGCTATTCAGAAGGGATTAATGATTGCTTGGCAAAGAAACTTTAGGAACGTGATATGCGTGTCTGATTCCCTCCATGCTATCAACCTAGTTTTGGGATCAAGGGAGCCTTTTCACAGGTATGCGATGTTGGTTGCAGAGATAAAAGATTTGTTGGGCCGTGAGTGGAGGACGTCGTTGGTGCACTCCTTACGCAAAGGTAACCAATGCGCTGATTTTCTGTCCAAGTGGGGTCCAAATTGCAAAAACGAGCTAGTAATCATTGACGACATCCCTGTGGGGTTGCAGCCTCTGCTTCAAGCAGATAGTTCGGGTGTTTTATTTAGGAGAGTTTAGTTTCTTTGTGTTTCTTTTTTTTTTTTGCCTTGTATTACCAAAAAAAATTTTTACATGTGTCTTATAATAAGATGAGAGAAAATATTTTATAAATTCTCTGTTCAAATACAAATATAGTTATTTTCCACCAAATTTTTTATCATAAATAATATAATAAATGAAGTAAACAATCAATGTTATAAAATTATTGTAAATAATGAAAAGATTTGGATAGTTCTTCCAAAAAAAAGATGGTTTGGATACTTTTATAAATATTTAGTTTGATAGCAAACAATATTTATTTTTCTACTTTATTTCATCGTTAATAGTATAATAATTGAAATAAGCAATCAACATTAGACATGTTTGTTTAAACTTAAAAATAAGTATTTTTAAATAAATAAATTTTAAAAAAACAATTCCTTAAGAAAATAGGAGTTTCTTTCTAAAAAAAAAATGAAAAACTGTGTATTTAAAAAAAATTAAACAAACACATTAAAAAAAGTAAAAAAAAAATATTTATTTTATTAAAAAAATGTTTTCGTAGAAAAAAAAAGTTTAAACTAATAGATTTGATCTAGGTGAAGAAACAAGCACTTAACATTAATTACAATTTACTATGTACATTCAAATTTTAATTTTTTTAGTGAGTTTTTAATTAAAATAAATATATTTTGTTGACACGTTTTCTTATTATTTTTTTGGTAAGCAGTAAAACTCCCTCTCCATATATTTAATACAACTATACACTTTTTTTTTTACCTTTATTATAGTGTAAAAATTAAAATTTGAAATAATATTAAACAAGACTTATCATTTGATGTACCAAAAAAAACAAGACTTATTTGATACTTTATTATTTTTTAATTTTAATTAAATTAAACAATAAAAAATAATTTATTTGAATATATAATTTAAAAGTATATTGTGATATATATCAATTTTGTTCAAAAGGTGTATGTCACAAGTGCTATACTAAATGTAAAAATTAGTAAGTTCTTTTTAATTAAATATAGTATAAGACGCAACTTAAAATATTATTTCAATGATTTAAAAAGGAATTCTTACTCAATTAGAAGATGAATAGGTTGGGAGCTTAGTACTTTTTCTTATAAAGAGAATTGACATAAAGTATAACTGAAAAATCAACAAGTAAAAAAAATCTAAATCTAAAATATAAGTATTTGTATTTAATATGGCTCTACTAAATTAAAATTTTCATCAAGTAACTATTATTTAAATAATTTTAATTTTAATTAATTTAAAAACTATTATAAAAAAAATTTGGTTGATTTTACATGAATTTGAATTGTATTGACAAATAAAAATTTTAAAAATATTTTTTCATATTTAAATTCATTGAACGACGAGGATGTTCTATATAAATTAATAATTAATTAAATGTGCTCAAGTATATAAATGTATACATTTTAGTATGTATTATTTCTAATTTTCTTCTTTAAACATAGCATTAAATTGATTGCATAAGAAAAATCATAAACCTACTCGATTGCTTGATAATTATATAATTATTATATAGTAAATAAATAATCACAATAATTACTATATATTTTTATTTATTGCACTAAATGAATAAATACAATAAATATATAATAATTATTAATGATTATTTTTATATGATAAATATTTTCTTGAAAGTTAATAAAGATCTTAAGGTAGACATTATAAGAAATCGTCGACTCTATGTACAAAAGTAGACGATATATCATTTTAGTACTTTAGTTTGATGATCTCTTTACTATATTTCCAGTATGTTTGAAAAATCATTTTTTTTAACGAAAACGTAAAAACACACTTTCCAAAGCACCAAAATACAAAGTAACTATTTCTATCTTTTCCGTTGTATATTTGTAAAATTTTAACAATAAAACAAATACACACTTTGTCATGTTGAGATTCTAGTTGCTTTGATATTTATAATTTTCAAAACCCTTTTGCTCTAATTCTTTTTAAAGTCTTAAAAGATTTTGAAACAGCTTTTACCTTGAACCATCATTTTGAGTCTATGATTTATAAAATGGAAAAGTTTTTCATAGCTCTAAATCTAATATCATCGTAGTTCTGATATCGACATACAAAAAAATAAAAAAAAATTTCTGAAAATCTTTGTAAAAACATTTCAATCCTTTTGATAAAAATATATATCGTCTCACCTCATCATCAACCATCAAGAGGTAATAATCACATGGATTTAGAATCTTGCACTATGCATTAATCATCAGCATAAGGCACAAGTGGAGGCAAGCGCTTTAATCAGCTTTTGGAAAAATTCAAATCACCAACTGGAGAACCCGGGTCCTCTTGAAACCTAGGATACAGCTTGTAGTTCTACCAAAAGATAAATAAAATGCATATATAACATATCATGATTTGTTGATATAATGCACACAAAGTGATGCCCAAATACACGCTGAACCAACTCCTGACTGTTGTTACAACTCCTTGCTTGAGCATAAAAGGTTAAAAAGGGTGGCCAAATACAAGAAGGATGAAACTCCCACCGTTGTCAGATAGATTAAAACTAAAATGTACAAAGCCACAGCCTTTACACAGTTGGTTGGAGAGGCTTTACTGATAGGGGCCAAAATATAATAATGAAAATTCTAACCAATGACAATAATCAACATTTTAGATTAAAAATTTGGCTTGTTGCCAGCATTCTTGCATCCATATCCTATATCAACAACCATGCATAACCTAAAATTTGAAATCTAAATGTGAATATCTCTATCTGATAGAGCTCATCTCAGCACCATCAAAACCATTGTCGCCCAAAGAAATGAATTTCCAGTCTGCGTGTCATGCTGATAAGCTGTTGCAATGATCAGATGGCAGACGGAAAGGGAAGTGTGCAAACTGTACTTTTAAGGTTGGTGAGTCAGGTTTTTTATCATCAAACTTGTAGCCTGCATCAAATTTTACCCTCGGGTATATAACGTATTTTCCACAGGTGTATAATATGATTAAGCACCTTTAAATATAAATTTCAAATTGAGATATCTACATATAAAATTCATTTGGGGGGCGGAGGGGGGGTTGATAAGAATAAATTACATAAACAATAGTTAATGTCATCCAAAGCAGACAAGCTGTTTCTGGTGAAAACACATTCACGTACAGAATTAACCTGAATTACGACAGGAGTCATTATAATGAACATTAAAGATTTATTATTTTTTAAAAAGGATCTATGTTTGGACAAAGATAACAAAGAAAATATCTACAATACAAACTAAAATGTCAAGTCATTATAATATTTGATATTATTATTTATTCATTACGACATGAGTCTTGTTAAGTTGGTGCTCACTAACTTATAGTTGAGATTGAGTTAGGAACCAAGAATTAGGAATGGAAAAAATTGAAGACAGATTTTATTGAATAGGATGAAAAAACAAGAAATAGGAGAGCAAAGATTTCTCCTTTTCCAATAGAATCGCGGCTCTATTCCCACAAAAGTTTACTAATCTGAATGTCTCCCCTTTACTCTAATATCCTCCTATTTAGAGATATGATGAGTTTGGCCCACGATAAACCCCTAATTAGTAATTATTCTTTTTTTTTTGTATTATGATTATGATTAGTAACTATTCAAATTCCCTTTATTCTATGTCCTATCAAACCCTCAAAAATCAACCTTGTCCTCAAGGTTGCAATTTGGAAAAAATTCCCCTCCTGGATCCCACTGTTGGAAGCATGATGAGCTACCTACTTTTTCATGCAGCACCTGCTGGACAACGATCATTGCAAAAGATTTCCAAGCTTTCCCAAACACCCTAAGAACAAGGTTAGCTTGACTATGAATATGGTGAACACACAGGATAGCAAAAACAGCAAAGCTTCCTGAATTATAGTTTGGGCTAAACATCCCTTGCATTGGGACCAATAAAATCTGACCTTGAATTAGGCTATTAGAAATCATTTGCTCAATTGGGCTTGACCTATTAGATCTAGAATTAGACCCAACTTACATAATACCCATTTTGCTGCTGTTTTATCCAAGTTAAATGTTTATTGTCAGAGACATGCATTGTTGTTGGAGGTACATGTGGCACCCTTTTTTGCTCTACAAGTAACAACACCCTTCTAACCGCCCCTGTTTGATGGTGACCATCAATTTTGGGGGCCGTGAAGGCATGGCTGCAGATTGTGCAACCTTGATCTCTATGGTTGCCATCTGCAAATTCTGAACTAGAAATGCTCCAGCAACAGAAATTTGGTCGACCATCTAAAAACCCAAAGTTCCAACATCATTGAAGAACCATCTCCCTCCATGAATGACCTTCGGTTGGCTGGTCCAATAGTGGTTGTGTGAGGAGCGACTCGCACAAAACCCAATATTCGACAATTCCTTGCTTCTCCAACTTGCCCTACTCATGACCCTTTCCTTCCTCCTTTTTCACCTCTTCTTTTCTACCTGGAAGATGATTTTCAAAACCTAAATCTTTAGTTTTTCCATCACCTTCCCATGTGACCCACTCACATCTAATGGCAAGGTGGCTTCTTTTACTGTTCTTGCTCCCCCCATTATGACACAAAACATAACCTTCGCAAGCCCCTTCTTGGGGTTGGTCTTGTCTTTTCTCATTCTTCTCAAACATCAGATGAAGTGCCACCTCTGTTTTGTCTCCTATTATCTCAAATTTTTCATCAGCACAGTTCTTGATCTCCAAACTTTCATTTTCCCTTCTCTTCTCTTGCTTCAAGTATCATTTGATCAAAGATGTGGAGAATGATTCCTAATTTAAATCTAGGTTATTTTGGCTCCAAAAGTAGAATCAATGCATCGCCACACCCTGAATTTTTCAGCTCTAACAATCCATCCAATTGGATCTGCCCCCACAACTACTGGAAGCTTCCCCTTGTCCCAATTGTGTGCTTCATCTCTAACACCGGCACTCCCTCAAAGATTCAACAGATTGGACCAATTGATAGGAACCAAGAATAAGGAATGGGAAAATAAAAGATTATTTTGAATAGGATGAAACGAACAATAAATTGGGGAGCAATATCTCCTCCAAGGATTTCCCCTTCTTTTCCAATAAAGCCACTGCTTTATTCCAACAAAGGTTTACTGATTACTGATCTGAATGTCTCCCCTCTACACTAATATCCTCCCTATTTATAGATATGATGGGAACCAAGAATTAGGAATGGGAAAATAAAATATTATTTTGAATAGGATGAAACGAACAATAAATTGGAGAGCAATATCTCCTCCAAGTATTTCCCCTTCTTTTCCAATAAAGCCACTGCTTTATTCCAACAAAGGTTTACTGATTACTGATCTGAAAGTCTCCCCTCTACACTAATATCCTCCCTATTTATAGATATGATGGGTTTGGCACATGATAGCCCCCTCTAATCAGTAACTAACTATTCCAATTCCCTTTATCCTAACAAATTGTACTGATACTTGACTTAGAATATTGATATAAATAAGTGTTAGTGCTCTGCATTTTGATATGCATCTGTTATTTAATAAGATCCCACATTATTCACATGCTTTCTATCATATTTCTATTTTCCTCAGGACTGTGTATATATATAAAATTCAATTATATGCAAACCAGAAGAAAAATTACCCTGCAGGGCTTCCATGGCAGTGAGAGCACATTTGGAGTCAACAAACTCCACAAAACACAAAGTCATAGCCTTGTCTCCACTCTGCAACATACTCAGTCATTTAAAAACTACTCATTATTCAAAATAACTGAAGCAAAAAGAAATAATGTAGATCAACACTCTACACTAAATATGTCTAACAATCACAGCTGGTGTATTACTAGAGGAAGGCCACAACAGATGAGAAGCAATAACATATTCCTTAAAAACAGATAATAATATGACCTTATGTGTTCCATCTTTCCTAGAGAATGACATTGATAGATTGTACATTATTGAAATATTCTAAATAATCAACCTAAAATTCTTAATTACACTTACACGTCTAGGCTCCTTGTGAACAACTCTGATATCCTTATAGCCAATAAAGGGACGGAAAAGATCTATGGTTCAGGTCAAGGCTTCGTATCAACATAACAACAAAATACAAGGTATGTTAGGAATGTGTTTTGAAGAAAAAGGAAAAGAAGGCAAGTTATTTTCATTTTTAAATTAAAAGAGTTACATAATGTTAAAAAAACAGAAATTTAACTTCCATTCACTTTCCCTCCAAAATCCCACTCACAGTAGGCCAATACAGCCTTTAAGTTATTTCAGGAACCGTGTGATTTAATTTCCATACACTGTTACACTTAAAAGGCAAGTTATTGTCAATGCCAAGTTTTAGCTCAACTTAGAAATCAACAGTAAGTAACTAAAGAGGATCTCATATAGTAAATCCAATACAACTTTAATTTCAAAACAACTTCTTCCTATCCATTATCACCACGCCAGGAACAATAACTGATACACAAACACATACAAGCAGACATATAAGCAACAAAGGATACGCCCCACTTCCCTTCTAGTGCAGTCATTTGGAAGTCCACCCACAAACAGAATGTTAGAGTCTGCAGCCGAAATTGGGAGACCATCATAACTGCTTTTAGAGTTTGTTCTTTCACTGTTTATATCAGGAACACCATGATTAATGCTCAACGGTGCATCTCGATTTTTACTCGGATCAGGTTCTTCAAGAGGTGAATAACTCTTAACAGGCTCAGAATGAACTCTGGAGCCCAAGGTATCATCAACACTGTAAAACAAGCCTATCTGCAGAATTTGTAAACAATCCAAGTGAAAATTCATCTCACACATGCACCATATAATAACTCAACATAATCATATAAAAATTTATTACATCTCTCTGCAGGTAATCTGATCCAATACCCCTCAATTCAGTGGAATTTGATGGCTCAGATGGAATATAACCAGCAAAGCTGGTCCTCACAATGCTTGCTGACAGAACCAAAACAACGGTCAAAACATGATCATCATTTAAAATAAAAAATAAAAAAAGAGGCTAAACTGTTTGATTGATCCACATAATTGTTTTAAGACTTAATCCCTATTAAAAACACTATGTCCTAGTTCCTCCTAGACAGTCTTTTGTGATGGTTTATCATTGACAGAAAGTTATTGCAAGTGTTTTACACCAAAAAAATCTCTGGTGTTCTGAACAGGAGCAAAACTTAAATTTTTGTGCACATCTAGTGACTAAAACTTAAGTTTTCTTGTATAAAGACTAAAAAGTAAATTAACCAAGTGAATAGTTTAACCTTAAAAAAGTTACGAAACAGAACGCTACTACTGGGACTGGTCTTCTATGGCTTAGGGTTTTATCGTTGAAATTTAGCGAAGCGTAAACTGGATACGAATCCCCTGGTTAAGAACATATAACATTGATTTTGGTTTTGTAATTGAACATATTTGTACGAGGAATAAGGAATTAAAGAAAATGGATGAGAATAATTGGGATTTTGTAAAAGTAGGGAATGGGGAGTACCTCCGTCAGCGGCGTAGGAGTAGTAGGGATCCGCCATCGAGACTGGCCTTTCTCTGTCTCCCTCTCCCTCACGCCGGCGACAAGGGGAAGAAACGAAACTGAATGCTTTGTTTGGTAATTTGGTTTACGAAGGAAAGATAAAAATAAAATAAAAATAAATAAATAAAATTAAAATTAAAAAAATTAAAAAATATGATGAGTTTTTTAGTTCTTTAACTCTATAAATTATAATTCTTATCTTATTTTAACATGCATTTTATATTTTATTCATTTAATGCTTAAATCATGTACAAATTTTTTTGCAATAGATACAAATTTAGCTTTTAGATATATGTAAGTTAAAAAAATATTTTTTAAAAATTTATTATGAAAAAAGATTATAAATTAATTTATATATAAGTTAATTTTAAATTTTAAATTTTAAAAAACTTATTATATATATATATATATATTCTTATAAATACTTTTATAAAAAATTGTCTAAGCTAAGAATATTATGAATTGTGAGAAAGATAGTTATAATGAGTGTTAGAGTTTTCTATGTGCTAATGAAAAGGTTATTGGACTCTAGGTATTCTCTCTGGTATGTGATTTCCTAAAGAGTGGTACCTTCTCCGGTACGTGATTTCCTAAAGAGAGGTGTTATGTCTCTGAAGTATGAAGGTAGTGATCATCTCTTTCCTAAAGTCACTATTGTTAAATCAACATTTGTGAAACTGTGCGAACCATAGAAACAATGTATGGTGGTGAAGTTGTTGGAGAAGAACATTAGTTTCATTATTATGCATAATGGGTTGCAAACATTTTGGAAATTACAGGGGGTTAGAGATAATGGATATATCACATGGCTATTTCATGGTGAAATTTGATCTTGATGCCGATAGGGAGTGCGTAATACAAGGAGGTCCGTGGATGCTCCTTGATCATTACTTGATTGTTAGACAATGTTCACCAAAGTTTGTGGCATCTGAGGTGGAGGAGGATAAAATCCTGGTTTGGGTCCACTTTCCAGGGCTAGGCATGGTGTTTTATAACAAGAATGTTCTTACCATGGCTTCAACGATACGAAGGCTTATTAAGGTCGATCTCAACACCCTTAACATGACTAGGGGGAGGTTTGCCAAAGTTTGTGTTGAAATTGACCTCCATAAGCCGATGTTAGGAATGTTTAATCTCAATAGTGTATGGTACAAAGTAGAATGCAAAAGCTTGAATTTACTTTGTACCACGTGTGGTTGTTATAGCCTTGTTGCCTGTGTGTGCGCAACTCCTCTTACAGTGATGGAGAGTAGTGCTCAGGGTAAGGAGTCAATGGCAAAGGGTGGAGGTCCATCAACGTTGAGCGGAGATGGCAACGTTGATGAGAAGACAAAGGAGAAGAGTGATCACGAGATCCTAAATGTCTCGATGAATTCGCTACAACCACATGGGGATTGGTTGATTGTGAAACAAAAATCACAAAAACAAAATATAAGCAAACTATTTGCAACACAATTCATGTATGGATTAAGGAAGGATAAATATTTTGACAAGATAAACACAAGAGGAAATATCCTAACTATTACAAGGGTCCTTAACACTATCAAAAAATATGAATAATCATGTGGGGCCCAATGTTTAGATTATGTTGACAAATAGGGTCAAGACTAATAAAAGGGTGCACGAGGCCGTGAGGAAAAAGAAGAAACAGGGTCAATCTGATGTAGGCAATCATGCATGCCTGTGGATGTGGTTAACGTCAAGGAGGTTAACCCGAAGCTGAGGCCCACTCAAAGTATTGCTCCTCGAATTACAGAGTTTAAGTTTGCTCTCCCAATCAAGCATGCTGAGGTTACCCAATATATGTATATGAGGATCCCACGGGGAAGGTCCAAAGTGTGGTGTAGGGTGGCAATTGAGATGATCATTAAGGGCATCTCGAGGTTGAGGGTATAACTTGTGATGACATGCTCTGTTAAAGAGAGATTTTGGTTGCCACTCTAATAGGTTTCTCATGTTAGATAACCAAAATATTATTTGTTAGAACATTAGAGGTGCAATGAATGCAAAAAGGGGAGAAAAAGGATTCGTGAGTTGGTTAAGGTGCACAAACCATTGCATTCTTGTGAGTTGCCTCATTTTGGAGCAATCTAAACTATAAGTTGCATCATAATGTGGAGGCCAGAGGTCATGCTGGAGGCATATGGATCTTGATTGAGAAATATAGTCAAATATCGACACTTAAGTTGTTTTCTTTCCCTCAAGCAACTACAATTTTAATCAAGCAACGTTGCAAGGAGTGTGTGTGCATAACTATGTATGCAAGTCCTAGCTTTAGTCAAAGAATGGAGGTGTGGGATCATATCAGGAGTCTTAGAAGCCAACTGGTGGTGCTTTAGATCGTACTAGGAGACTTTAGCGAGGTTATCTCTAGCTCGGAGATCTAAGGGTATTACATTTCTCCTTCTCATGCCTCATAGTTGGTCCAGCTCATAAATGATTGTCCCTTGATAGACCTTGACTCTAAAGGTCTTATATACACATGATATTAGAAGCAATTGGGTACAACGATGGCTAAAAAGCTTTATATAGTGGTTTGCGGCACATCATGACTGTCTCTCTTTCTATAAGCTTTCGTGGAGGTTTTGTATCAAGCTTATTCAGGTCATTGCCCCGTCCTTGTGTGGTGTGGTGGTTTGAAAGATAAGCAAAGGGACCATCCATTCCGTTTCCAAGTTGTTTGGTCCACGCATAAAGGGATTTGAGAAGGTGGTCCACGAAGCTTGGATTAGGAACACCCCTACCCCTACTAACGAATTGAAAGTTGTTAGGATTGATGCATTCGAGTTTAACACTTATGTGTTTGGAAATATTATAATTCAATAAAAAGCTTTAGAGGCAAGGTTAAAAAGGGTTCAATTGGAGCTTGAGAAGGGGGAATCTGAGAGCCTTTCTCGACTAGAAGGTATTTTCCAAGATGAATTGAATGATGTTTTATTGCAAGAAGAATTTTTGTAGTTTCAAAAGTTTAGAGAAAAAAGGGTGAGATTCGGTTATAGAAATACTAGTTATTTTCATGCTCAAACCCTTGCCCATGGAAGAAGAAATAAGATCTGGGGTTTGTTTTTATCGGATGACATGTGGCATATAGATGCAAATGTCCTCAACAATGAAACTTTTCGCTTCTATCATAAGCTTTTTAGGAAGGAATCACATTGTGCTTTTGTGGACATGTATTTAAATGTTCCTTTGATTTTGGGAGAAGAGGTTGTGGCCACCTTCTTTGCTTCAGTATCTAAATAAGAGGTTAGAAAGACTATTATGGGCATGAAATCCTTTAAGGCACCTAGGCTGGACCATTTTTTTTATACTAACAATATTGACACATTGTGATTGATGAACTTTGGAGAATGGTGCTTGAAGCATTTTTACATGGTTTCTCGGATGAATCTCTTTTTGAAACGTTAATCGTGCTCATCTTGAAGATAGACAATCTGTGTAGCCTTAAAGACTTTTACCTAATCAATTTGTGTAATGTGGCGTATAAAGTTATATTGAAAGTTATAGTGGCACGACTGCATCCTTACCCTCATGATATCATTAGACCTTTCCAAGGAGGTTTCATACTAGGGAGAAGAACACTTAATAATAGTATCATTGCACAAGAGATTCAACATTTTATATCCAAGAATAAAAACTGCTACAAAAACTATGGCATTGAAAATCAACCTTGAGAAGACGTATGATAGAGTGAGTTGAATTTTTCTTTAGGCTACCTTACATAGATTTGGTTTTCTTGCTCGTATCATCCAACTAATGACGTAGAGAGTTGAGAACTCTATGGTGTGTGAGATGAAAGTCAATATATTTCAATATAATTTTTCTTGATTAAGTATTTGTAAAATAGAATGGAAAAATCCACATATTATAACATAAAAATGTCTTCAAAATAATCATAATGATATATACATATTAATTATTAATTAAATAAAAAATATTATTATATAAATTAATTGATTTGATTTAAATTTTAAATATGTAAATCCGATAGTCAAATTAATCAATATTAAATTTAATCAATTTAATTTAAATAAATAAATAAAATAAATTTAATTAATTCAATTTAAATTATGATTAACGTGTCTTATAAATATCTAATTATCATTATTATGTAAGGATGTAATGATCACTCGTCAACCTTGTGAAAGTATGGTTGAGTTTCTATGAAGAAAAAAAAAACTATTATTATATTTATTCTTTCATTACGCTGAAATGAATTATTTAAGTGAAAATTAAGTTATATATGCATCTTGAAATGACAGTGCATGTGTTGTATCTCTTGGTAACGCATAGTTTGATTTTTAGGACAAAAACACCAGCATATTATATTAAGATTAATTAATTCAATATCCAAACTAATTAATACCAGTTTTAATTGATTTGATTCGGATTAAAGTTAAAAAAAACTAAAATAATTGAATTAATTAAGTTAGAATTATCAAATTTGTCGGATCGATTTAATCCGAAGAGCACCTCTATTAAATTTGATAATATGCTGATGTTTTTGTCCTAAAAATTAAACTACGTGTTACCAAGAGATACAACACACTGTTATTTCAAGATGCATATATAACTTAATTTTCACTTAAATAATTCATTTCAGCGTAAAGAAATAAATAATATAATGTTTTTTTCCCCATAGAAACTCAATCATAATTTGACAAGGTTAACGAATGATCATTACTTAATCAATAATGATAATTAGATATAATTCATCTAACACTTACACTAATCACAGTTCAAATTGAATCAATTAGATTTATTCATTTTCTAATTTAACTTAAACTAAATCAATTAAATTTGATATTGTTTGGTTTACGTATCATATTTATATATTTAAAATTTAAATCAAATTAATTAATTTATATATTATTATATTTTATTTGATTAACAATTAATATGTATGTATTATTTTAATTATTTAGAAAACGTTTTTGTGTTATAATATGTAGATTTTTTCATTCACATTTTCAAATACTTAAAGAAAAACAAGAAAAATTATATTACAATATATTGAGTATCATCTTCACACATGGTAGTGATTTGAAATCCTAAAATAAATTAAAAAAAGATAAAGA